TATAAGGGACTTGCCTGCTCAGCACCCCTCCCCTTCCTATTTCTGATAGCCTCACTAGTAAACATTTAAGAATTATGCTAATGATCAGAAGCACCCAGAAGCAGACAGGAGCCTGTGTAGGAACCTGTACAAAGCAGAGCTTGACTAGCTGTAAACTATCATACAAAGGCTGGTTATAAGAGTGTCACAGTGCACAAGAAATCACATACGTGTTGGTAGGAAGGGACCTCTGGATGTGTCTAGTCCGGTCGCCTGCTCAAAGCTGGACCATTGCCCATACAAGATCAGGCCAGTTGAGGCTTTGAGATGAAGTCCTGAAAATGTGGTCTAGCTGAGTCATAAGGATACTACCCTCCTGGGGAAGAAATTTTCCTAATGTTCAACCTCAGTCTTTCAAGTTGCAATTTGTGGCCTTCATCCTTTGTTATACCATCTGACGCTAAAAAGAAGAGTTTGTATCCAACTTCTTTGTAACTGCCCTCCATGTAGCTATAGGCTGATTGCTCCTTAGCTCCTTCTTCCCCAGAGTAAACCAACTCAGTTTCCTCCACCTCTCCTCACAAGACACATGCTCCAGGTTCTCAGGGTTCTTGTAACCCTCCGCTGGAACCTCTCCAGTTTCTCCACATCGTTCCTCTTTAATTGGGAGCCCAAAACTGGCCACAGTACCCCACATACTCTCTCACCAGTGCCAAGTAAAGGGGATAATAACTACTCAACTTGCTGGCCATGTTTCTTCTAATGTAGCCTAGGATGAGTTTTGCCAGTGTCTCCTGGCTGCTGTTTAACCTGGTGCCTTGAGAAACCTCATCTGCATGCATTTTCTTCACAAATAAAAACCTCCCCCTAGTAAAAGTAGGAAACTATTTGGATTCACATTCATAGACCTTTGCTTTCAACTCCTAAACATCCAAAAATCACAAGTCAACAACAAAATCAGGAATATTAAAATGCATGTACATTCTGCTTATCAACTTTCTGCTTCATTAGCTTTAAAGCGCTGCAGTTTCCACATTTGCTTAACAATACAGGCAAGAAGCACTCTGCAATAAAAGCTGTTATTTCTTCATAAACACAAAATTCCAAGAGATGGCTTTTTACGAAAAAAGTTGTCAAACATTATAGAATTAGAAGAGAAGTTGCACCATGCTTGCAGGCAAATGTCAAAGGAGAAGGTCTGTTAAGGTATACAGGGGTTTAAAATCAGCCTCCAAGTTATGGATGTGGAACACGTCTCACCGTCACATGCACAGTCTGAAAATATCAGAGGCAGAGGAGAGGCCCCTGACTTCTAGGCTCTCTCTTTTTCAGGACAGAATTATCTACCTCCCTCAGCACCCTGCCTCAGTAGCGTGACAGAAAGACTAGGAGCACTACAGTGACAATGGGCTTTCAGCTCTTCAGCACTGAAAACACCCTGTTTTTCCACCCTCCCCAGAGCAAACTGGCTCACAGAGAAGTTGCTTCACACAGGTGTGAGTTATTTCTTTTCCCACAGGGCTGCACCTACAACCTCCTCAATTCTCCCAGGCCCCACCTAGGTACTGTATGTCTTCCCTCAGCTACCACCTAATCCACAGAATAACTAGGTGTTATAAAGATGCAGCTGTCTTGGTATTTCCAAGCTCAGTGGGTGACAAGCCAGCAGGTGCCAAGGAGAGAAAAAAGGTGGAGGAAACAGGGTCTTTCCAAGTTTAATCTCCAAAACAGGAAGGTGACACTATTAAACGTTGCCAACCATGGCAGCTAATGCAGTTGCTGAATCAGGGTTTGCAGAAACTTCTCTGGGCTTCTCCTGCATTGCCTTTTAGTGTTCTCTTGGAGTTCTGACAAGGATAAATGACACTAACACATTGCAGCATTTTTGAAATCCTAAAACAGATATCACCAGGAACACAGAATACATCAAGAGAGAAGGGGGAAAAAAAGGAAAAAAAGAAAAAAACAGCCTTGCACCAGATGCACAGCTGGAAGTAACAGGTGAGAGTAGAAGCACTTGCCAGAGACCAAGCTAAAGCCATCAAAACCAAACTAGTGGCCCAGTTACACCCTCTGAAATTATAATCATTCTGACTCACAGACCAGATGTACAAAGCTACGAAGTCAAGGCCATCTCCAGGGAGAATGATAAATAACACATACATCATTTCAATCTTCAGTTCTCAAACCTTTGTGCAAAGAAGTTTAGATATTGCTAGTCCCCTGTAAATATAAGATAACAGAGAAACAGAGGACTTGATTCACATCTCCCATTCATAAAGGGAAGCTTTCTTCCTCAAGATGAACGGAATGTGAAACAGTAAGGACTACGAATGGGAAAATTTCATGCTGGAATAAACGACTGCAGAGAGTTTGTGCAAACAAGAAGCCATCTCAGAACACTGCTTTGCAATTTGCATGGGGAAGATAGTGAAATGATTACAGGTTTCCTGGACCTGCAAAATAGGCTTGAGATATTATCTTTTCTTAAGGGTGTGACACGAAGCTTTTATTTAATGAAGTTTATGAATCAAAACAGCTTTAAAATTAATGAGTAGGCCCAGGCCTGTGGAAACTCTCCCAGCTGAGGCAGTGCTTGGATGGGAAAGAAAAGAGTCATTTTACCTGACCATGGTCATCCTAAAGTACATGGGAAAATATTTAGGCTGGCTAGAAGCATTATGGCAAGAAGAAGGGAATTAAAAGGGACAGTCCTAGTCAATGCAGAACATCAGGGTTAATCTCTTATCTTCACGCTACCAATGTGTTGAAGATATTGATGGACAGTGCCTACCTATAGAGGTATTAAATCCAGCCTTTCTTGCAGAGCACTGAGGAAGAAATGTGAGTCACTTGTGTTTTAATGATTACCTACAGCGCTTGGTTCCCACATCAGTGGAAGTAACTGAAACACATACGTCCCCAGGAAAGTGCAGGATAAAATTAATGGAATTTATGGAATGCACACTGAACTAACTGTTTACAAAGGGATCTGTACTCCGAGTTTATATTGTCATAAAATGATTCTTTACCTAGTCATTCATGCATTTGTTTTTGATAAAAACTCAAATTATTGCCAGTATTTTTACATAACAACAATTTTGCAGCAGAGCTTAGAATAATTTCAGTTTCTAAAAACTTTTTCAAGTTTTCTTTATACCACAGAGACTCTGGAAATGAAAGATGTTTCTAGCCTACAGAGAGATCTGTTTCCATTTTCTTGTGCAACACCTCTCTAAAAAGAGTAACAAAAAAAATTTTTAATTGGCATTTTTTCCTCTCTTTTCTGAGGTTAAAAACTGCTGTAGGTTTTTGCTAAACTCTCTCAAAAGAACACCTTGTCCGACAGCAAGCAGGAATAGTCAGTTTTCAACCCAGTGAAGACCATTTTAAAGAATTTCCAAAATCATGAAAAAGGAGTTATTCTGCAGTCTTGGCAATGGCTGATACTACGGTAAGTCTGTTATCCATAGGCAAATTATGTTGTGTTGCAGATCACATTAACGATGGCTAAATTGTGTTTAGCAAGTTCCAATTCAGAACATGTATAGATACCTTCATGAAACTCAGAGCAAATGAACCCTGTGAGATTTCTAGCTATGCCTTTACCATAATCTCCACATTTTTGTGCCGGAGAGCAACGTGCAAAAACACAGAATCACAGACGCATTGAATGGTCGAGGCTGGAAGGATCTTTAAAGATCATCTAGTAAAAAACCCCTGCTGAAGCAGGGTCACCTACAGCAGGTTGCCCAGGACCCTGTCCAGACAGCTTTTGAGTATCTCCAAGGATGGAGACTCCACAGCTTCCCCAGGCAACCTGTTCCTGTGCTCTGTTACTCTCACAGTAAAGAAGTTTTTCCTTATGTTCAGACAGAACTTCCCATGTTTCACTTTGTGCCCGTTGCCTCTTGTCCTATCACTGGGCACCACAGAAAAGAGTCTGGCCTCATCATTTTACACCCTCTCTTCAGATATTAAAATACACTGATAAGATCCTTCCTCAGTCTTCTCTTCTCCAGGCTAGACAGGCCCAGCTCTCTCAGCCTTTCCTCAGAGGAGAGATGCTCCAGTCCCTCAGCCATCTTAGCGGCCCTTCGTTGGACTCGCTCCAGTAGGTCCATATCTCTCTCTTATTGGGGAGTCCAGACCTGGACACAGTACTCCAGGTGTGGCCTCACCAGGGCTGAGTAGAGCGGAAGAATTACCTTCCTTGACCTGCTGACAATCCTCTTCCTAATGCATCCCATACAATATGCAAATGGCTTTGGCCAGAAAGATCCTACAGCCAGAGTTACTTCTTGTGTTCAGTCTAGAAGAAGTTGTTCCAGAGCCTGCAAAGGGAAAAATCTGCAACAAAAGCAAGTCTGGTGATGGAAGGAGAAGAAGAAAAATTCTGAGAACTACAGGGGCTGTAGCAAGCCTCACACCAGAGAAAACAGTAAAAAATGTCTCCACATTTGTTGTACTCCCAAGGAAATTATACTCCTGAATCCTGAACAGTAGTCAGTGAAATCTATACGTTCATGTGGCTCTACAGTGCTGATTCTGAGGTCACGTGACTCAGCTCAATCTAATTCAGTTTATTCAGGCTTCTCTGTCAGGCTGGATATCCCAGATCCCCATTACCCAAGATAAAGGAGACTTAACTGTATTTCAGTTGTCTAAGCATTATTTCCACTGCACTCAAACAGCAAGTGATGTTCAACAGAAAAGAAAATAGCATGCCTCCCTCCTAATACACAAACATAAACCTAATCTAGGACTAGCCTGTTTTAAGCGCAGGAAATCACATTAGACCTTAAGGGCAGGGTTTGTGTTCTACGTTCGACACAATTCTTTATTAAGTACCACATACGGCTGGAAAGAAACAGCTGCAAAGTCTAAGTCAGCAGACACTGTAACCTGGAATTTCTGTGCACCTCTTCAATTATACATTGGCACAGACAATAAAGCCAGTTTTTGGACCCAAATTGCCAACATTATTCCTAAAAAAACCCAAACATTACTAAACAGCTTACCTTTCAAAGAAATACCGAATGACAACCAAGATTAAGGCAAAAGGGATGCTGAGCAGGAGATCATGAGGTTGAGGGTAATGGATATCTTCAGACTCTTTCATGTCCTCCCAGGTGATTCCTGGGGGGAGCCAGTATTCATGCTGCCATAGCCATTCATTCAGAGAGCGTGCCATCCTGGAAGGAAAAGAGACTAGAATAAGCTGAGGATATCCTAGCACACAGCAAACCTGTCAGCACAAGCCAGTGAAGCAAAGAAAGGATTGCACCCCAGCTGATGTTGCATCCAGCGATGAAAGCACAGGAGGCGTGGAATGCATCAGCACTGAAGGAACTGATAACCTATTCACAGATTTTTATCAGGTACTCAGTGACTGCTGATTCCTGACACAAAACCAGAAAAGGCTGAAATGGAGATAAGTTTCTCAGACCTCAACACAAGACTTTCATTCTTAGCAAGATGTACCAGAAAGTTTTGAGTTTAATACTGCAACTTCTTCTCAGATTCATAGGTTCCTTTCTACAGCACTGATAGCTTAGCTTGGTAAGGATGCAGCAAGTCTGCTGCTGTGTTGGCTACCAGTTCCCCTTTTACATGTACATAACCTTAGTTTTCACTCTCTGGTTTTGTATTTATTTGTTTCTATTTTCCACATTTCAGTTCCACAGCGTGCATGTGAGTACATGTGCATTATCACAGAATCACAGAATCACAGAATCGTTTAGGTTGGAAGGGACCTCTGGAGAGCATCTAGTCCAACTTCCCTGCTCAGGCAGGGTCACCTAGAGCATATTGCCCAGGATCACATCCAGACGGGTTTTGAATATCTCCAG